ACAGAGTAGTAATGTGATTTCTCTAGCCAAGTAAGAGGATTTTGCAAAATGTATTAATGTTAACTCTTTAAAAATTAGAAGGCAGAGTCGATTTGGGTAGGTCGTGTTTCCCTACTCCTGCCTTGCTTCTGTATCAACCTTATGCCCCAGCTACACCAAATTACTTGTAATTCTGGAGACATGAAATAGTTTTCTTTGACTCCCTATCTTTGGAATTTTCTGCTTAGAATGCCCTCCTCCTGCCCTTTGTCCTGCTTGGCAAATTCCAGTGTATTTTCCAAGAATTGGCTTGACTTCGAAGCCTTCTCTTACTTATCAGGGCAGACTTAGAAGTATAATAGTTAACAGCATATTTTGTTTGTATACAGTCTTATACTATGTATTTTTTCTTAGAGTATGTTTATATATGCACACACATACATACAATGTATACCCATATATGTACATACATGCACAATTTTTTGTCTAGTTTTTATAGTATATTCCTTGTTCAATGCCTGACATTAGATAGTGTATGTGCTGTCCTGTTTATATTAAGACTACTAACTGGTTGAATGAAAACAATTAAAAACACATGGTTTTCCTACTTACTGGTTGAATGAAATCAATGAAAACAAAAACACTTGGAAACTACGGGCAGATTTTCTGTTTCTAGAAACAAACTGAAATGCAAAGTGGGAGGGAACATTTGCTTATTTGCCTGACACTGTTGCAGTTATCACTGTGTCTTAAAAGTCTTAACCGTTATTTTATAGATAAATATAATAAGTGACAAAACGGGATTTGAATCCAGATCTCTCTTACCATAAAAATCTTCTGTTCTTTTCACACAATTTGGCTATGACTATGTACAATTTTATGGTGGGCCCAACCTGTTTTTTTTTTTTTTTTTTTGAGACAGTGTCTCGGTACGTCACCCAGGTTGGAGTGCAGTGGCGTGATTTTGGCTCACTGCAACCTCCTCATCCTGGTTTGAAGCGCTTCTCCTGCTTCAGCCCAGCTGATTTTTGTATTTTTAGTAGAGATGGGATTTCACCATGTTGGCCAGGCTGGTGTGAAACTTCTGACCTCAAATTATCAGCCCACCTTGGCCTCCCAAAGTGCTGGGATTATAGGCATGAGCCACTGCGCGTGGCCAAAGGAAAGGCGCAACTTTTAAACTATTATATTTTAGGCACTTTTTCTTAAATTTAAAAAAGCAAAAAATTGGAATTTCTCTTCTGCTACTTTGGATTTTTATGTTAGATTCAGGGAACTGCAGGTAGTATAGAGAGAGGATACTTCTGGAACTATGACAGTTGTTTTGTCCTGTTACATAATCTCAGGTCTATACAAAAAGACATTCAGTTCTATAGGTAACAAGGATTGTTGTTGTTTTATTGTTTCTTTCCCTTGTCATCTTCATTCCTGATGTTCTCTTTATTTGTATCGTAACATATTTGATTCCTTTCGTGATTTGGAACTAGAAGGTTCTTTTGAGCCTAGTTTATGTTTAGCAGCAGTTTTCAAAGAGTCTTGGAGATAAGATGAACCAAAGCTTTAAGTATAGGGCCTTAGTTTATATCCTAGATTTTCTATTCCTATTAAGAATTCTATTCTTTTGGCCAGGCGCAGTGGCTCACGCCGATAATCCCAGCACTTCGGGACGCCAAGGCGGGTGGATCACTTGAGGCCAGGAGTTCAAGACCAACTTGGGCAACATGGTGAAACCCCGTCTCTTCTAAAAATACAAGAATTAGCCAGGTGTTGTGGCGCCTGCCTGTAATTCCAGCTGCTCAAGAGGCTGAGGCATGAGAATTGCTTGCACCTGGGAGGCGGAGGTTGCGGTGAGCCGAGATAGCACCACTGCACTCCAGCCTGGGCAACAGAGCAAGACTCTGTGTCAAAAAAATAAAAAAGAATTCTATTCTTTTAGAATTCTATTCTGTTCTGTTAAGATTAACCAAAAACCCAATTTTCAATTAAAAGATGTGCCACATAACTTTTTCATGGAATCTTTTACTTTATAATTAAATATTAGGTTTTGCAAAATGAAAAATACCTATTTAATTATTTATTGGCAATCTGTCTTGAGCTTACAAGGGATCCTACCTTTAACTTTTTATCCTGGCTCCCCTTCAGCTAGCAATGACAGCTATTAAGACAGTAAGTTTATAGGGAAAGAGGGAGTATTGGAATTTTGGGAGAACAGATATAATTAGAAAAAGCATTTCAGAGTAGTCATTGTTAATATATGCTTTTTGAAAAGTTTTTTTTTTTTTTTTATTTTGGAGACAGAGTCTCATTCTGTCACCCAGGTTAGAGTGCAGCAGTGCCATCTTGGCTCACTGCAACCTCTACTTCCCAGGTTCAAGTGATTCTTGTGATTCAGCCTCCCAAGTAGCTGGAATTTCAGGCATGCACCACCATGCCCAACTAATTTTTTTGTATTTTTAGTAGAGACGGGGTTTCACCAGGTTGGCCTGGCTGGTCTCGAACTCCTAACCTCTAAGCGATCCACCTGCCTCAGCCTCCCACAGTGCTGGGATTACAGGCATGAGCCACTGTGCCCGGCCAGTATATGCTTTTTTTTTTTTCCTCCAAAAAAGACAACAGTAACAACAACAACCTGATTTGAACACACTGTATTATATGCTTTTTGGTCATTTAAAAAATTCAAATAGCATTAAAAGAAGATGGTTTTTTAATGGTTTTTTTACTTCATCAGTGAAAGAGGCTGAATTTTAAAAGCCGTGGAACAGTATAGGGCTATTGCTGCTATTATAGTGTTCAAGAATCCATAGAGTTTAGTTATGCAGAGCTACTTAAGAATTCAAGAGTCTTAAAGTACTAATATCTCCATTTCTAGTAATACTTCTTGTCTTTGATCTATTTTGTCTCATAATAATATAGCTACTCCAGCTTTTTTTCTTTTTTCTTTTTTTGAGACAGTCTCACTCTGTCACCCAGGCTGGAGTGCAGTGGAGCTATCTCAGCTTACTGAAACGTCTGCCTCCCATACTTAAGTGATCCCCCCACTTCAAGCACCCAAGTAGCAGGGACCACAGGTGTGCACCACCACCCCCAGCTAATATTTTTGTATCTTTTATAGAGATGGGGTTTCACCATGTTGCCCAGGCTGGTCTCGTCTCAAACTCCTGAGCTCAAGCAGTCCACCTGCTTCAGCCTTCCAAAGTGCTGGGATTATCGGCGTGAGCCACCACACCTGGCCTCCAGCTTTCTTATGCTCACTATTTTGTGTTATATCTTTTAAAAAAATTATTTTCAACCTGATGGTTGAAATTTTGTCTTTAGAACTGTATCTCTGGTAGACAGACTATATTTCTGATGGTCTGATAATCTTTGCCTTTTAAATGAGATATTTTAGTCCATTTATATTTAATGTAGTTATTGATCTAGTTGCATTTAGGTCTGTGATTCTGCTATTTATTTTCTGTTTGACTCATGGTTTTTCCCTCTGTTACTCCTTTCCAGACTTTATTTTGGGTTAACTGAATATTTTTTAGTCCTCCATTTTAGTTTCTCCGTTATCTTCATACCTATACCTTCTAATATGTTTCAGAGATTGCTCCTAGGATTGTTATTTTTTTTGGGGTGGGGGGCGCCAAATATAAGTGAACATTTGTCACTAGTGTCTGTACCAGAGTGGAACACTCCCTTTGTATGGAAGTGATTATCAATTATGATAGAGTGGTAGCAAAACATTTGAAGCAGAATATGACTTTGTTACCTTCTAGGAGTATGCTTCTTAAGTATGGTTGTTTAACAGTCTGCATTTCAATTAGTAGAGTTATTTATCTAAAAATAAATGCTCCTGAGCCTTACTCCAAACTAAATAAGTATCTGAGTGTGGGATCTAGGTACCTGCATTTTAGGTAAGTGCTCCAAGCGTGTCTTGAACATAATTATGTTTGGCAGTCACAACTGTAGGAGTCTTTTTCCTACTGTCCTCTGCTTTTTATGGGCCAGAATCAATTTTATTGTTTATCTTTAAGATTAACAAGTGTGAGACTGATGAAACAGTTTGGTCATAGTCACAGAATTCTAGAGTCTTTATAAAGGTGTTTCAAGGTTATGCTAGCTTAACAGTCTTATAAAGGAGAAAACTGGCCAGATGAGAGTGGCTGAGTGGCTTTTACAGCTCTGATTTATAATTAATTATGTATTTTGCTATGAATTGTAGACTAGAATAAGCTGTATAAAGTATTTCTGCTGTGTATAGTTATGTTCACGGTTAGGTGTTGTTTGTAATCCAATTTGACAGTCTCTGCCTTAGTTGGGCTATTTAGACCATTTGCACTTAATGTAGGTGCTGATATGGTTGTGTTCAAATCTCTTTATCTTGCTGTTTCTCATTTGTTTGTCTCATCTCTTCTTGTTCCCTTTATTCTCTTTTTGTGCGTTCTTTTAGATTACTTATGGGGTGTACTGGATTAGCAGTTGTATGTCTTTGGTGTATGTGTGTTTCTTTTTAAATAATGATTGCTTTAGAGTTTGTAATTAATATGCATTTTTACTTTTCCACAGTCAACTTCAAGTAATACGTATCTCTTCACACACAGCATAAGAGCTTTGTAACAGTATACCCTTTTCTTGCCTGTGTGCTATTGTAGTCATATATTATACTTCTGCATGTGTTGTGAACCCCACAATATTTATCCATTTATTTTTTAGTACATAGTTTTATTTAAGCAGTTATTTTTTAGATACTTGAAAAATAAGAAATTTTTTATTGATCCCATATTAACTTTTTGTTCTTTCTTTTTTTTCTGGAGACAGGGTCTTGCTTTGTCCTCCAGACTGGAGTGCAGTGGCGCCATCTCAGGTCACTGCAGCTTTGACCTCCCAGGTTCAAGCAGTCCTCTTGCCTCAGCCCCCTAAGTAGCTGGGACTACAGGTGCATGTCACCATGCCCAGCTAATTTTTGTATTTTTTTTAAAGGTACAGTTTTACCATAGTGCCCAGGCTGATTTTGAACTCCTGAGCTCAAGTGATCCATCCGCCTCGGCCTCTCAAAGTGATAGGATTACAGGCGTGAGCCACTGTGCCTGGCCCCATATTAATTGTTTCTGATGCCCTTTATTCTTTTGTATAGATCCAGATTCTCATTTGGTGTAATTTTACTTTTGCTTGAATGATTTGCTTTAGTATTTCCTATAGTGCATGTCTGCTGTTGATGATAGCAGTCTTTGTATGGCTGAAAGAATCTTTATTTCAGCTTCATATTTGGAAGATTTCTATTTCTTAGGTATGGAGTTGTAGGTATTTTTCTTTATGTACTTTAAAGATGTTACTGTCTTCTGACTTGTATTTTAGATGGAAAAGTCTGCTATCATTCTTATTTTTGTTTTTCTGTATATAACTTGAGTTTTTCTCTGGCTGCCCAAAAGTTTCTATCACTAGCTTTAAGCAATTTGATTATATTGTGCCTTGGTATACTTTTCTTCATGTTTCTTGCTCATGAGTTTCATTGAACCCCTTGAATCTATCTGTAGATTGATAGTTTTTACCAAATTTGGGAAAATTTTGTCCGTTATTTCTTCAGATATATTTTATATCTCCCATTCTTCTTTGGGGACTCCATTTGCACATATATTTGGCTGCTGGGAGTTTTCCTACAATTGATTGATGCTTAATTTTCTTCCTCCCCCATATTTTTTCTGTTTCATTTGGGATATTTTTCTTACGCTTTTTCTTCAAGGTAACACATTTTTTCCTCTGTAATGTTTAATCTGCTCTTGATCCCATCCCATGTATTTTTCATATCTTTTTTTCATCTCTAAAAGATCAATTTAGGTCTTTCATATCATCTTCCGTGTCTCTTCTTAACATGCTCTTTTTTTCTGCCTTCTTAAATGTATGGAATATAATTAAAATAACTTTCAATGTCCTTATCTACTAATTCTGTATTCTTTGTTCTGGGTCTGTTTCTGTTGTAGAATTTTTTGCCTCATGGTTTGTATTTTCCTGCCTTTTGTGTGCCTAGTAATTTTTTATTGGATGCTAGACGTTGTGGAGTTTACCTTGTTGAGTGCTAGCTATTTTTATATTCATTTACATACTTGAGTTTTGTTCTGTGACACAGTTTTTTGGATATAGTTTGTTTCTTTTGAAGCCTGTTAAACTTTGTTAGGCAAAACCAGGAGAATTGTTTGCCACTTCTTAGGCGTTTTGCCTCATTTATTACAGAATTTAAAAAATTTTTATTGGTGGAGACATAAACTAGTCCTTGTCCTTTGTGATAATCGAGGATTTGTTCACTTGATCATTTCAGGTAGTTATTTTTCCCAGAATACGGAGTAGTTTCCTCACACACATAAACTGTTTGAATACTCAAAAGACTCAAAGGGACCTTCTGTAGCTTTCTGAGGTTCTTTCTCTGTGAAGGTCCCTCCTCTCTGATACTCTTCCTCTGCCAATTCTAGCTGCCTTGGCCTCCCTGAATTCTCAACTCTGTCTCCTCAATTCGAGGAGTCTGCTGAGATTATATTTGGACCCTCCTAGTGCTCTGGAAATTATTTCCAGGAAGTTAACTGGAAGAATATAGGGCTCATTTCATTTGTCCTCTCTTTCTCAGAGATCACTGTCCAGTATTGTCTTTTGTCAGTGTCTGATACCATGACTTCATATGTTTTATCTTTTTTTTTTAAGAGATGGGGGTCTCACTGTGTTTCTCAGGGGCTAGAGTGCAGTGGCTATTCACAGATGCAGTTATAGAACACTACAGTGTCGACCTCCTGTGCTCAAGCAATCCTCCTGCTTCAGCCTCCTAAATAGCTGGGACTACAGACACTGTCGGCATACCTGGCTCTGTCATTTTATTTATTTATTTATTTACCATTTAAGGTGTGAGGGTTAAGTTGGTTCTTGTTAATCCATCCTTTTCAAAAGTGGAAGACCATGTTTAAGTGTTCTTTAAATACAGAAGTTATTTTGTTTTTAACAAAAGGGACTGTGCTGTGTTTTGTGGTCTCTTTTTGATAATGTTCTATTGGGAGTAAAAACGATGTTATCTGTTTAAAGTAGTCAGTTCTGTAAGATGGTCCCATGGTATATAGACATTTAATTTAAAAACAAGCATTTTAAAATACCCTAATAGCAATAACATTTCATTAGGAAATGATGAATCTTTTCTGTCACTCATATAGCAACATTTGGGAGGAGTTTCTTAGGTGGTTTTCTTTTTCTCTCCTAAGAAAAGAGCTAAAGGAGCAAAGACAGAATCTCATTGTGAGTGATGAACAGATTTTTTTGTTTCAAAAATACTTAAATGCTTACTTTGTGCCTGGAAATATCCTGGAGATGAAGCAGTGTATGGGATAAAAATTCCTGTCCTCATGGAGCCAATAACTTACTCTAGAGAGACAGACAATAAGTAAAACAACTAATATTACCAGATGTTGACAGGCACTGTTGAGAAAGTAAATCAAGTAATGCAGGGGATAGAATAGGAAGTGCCAGGAAATAATAAGAAAATTTCTTGGAAAACTCTTAGGGCCTTGAGAAAGGCCCTGAACTGTAGCAGTTGAAGAGTTCTTATTTAGCTCTGGATCCCATCCTTTCCAACCTCATGGTGTTTCCATCAGTAATGTTTTCTTATTGCTAAAACTTCAAGTTATGTTTATTTGTTGACTATTTACTTTCATTATATAACCATGTGCAAATCTTTGTCTTCTTTTAAACATTAGGAACAAAACAAAATAAATAATCTTTATTTTGCTTGAATGCCCTGGCTAGTAATCTAATCCAGTTTACTATTTCACAACCACAATTCTGGAAAGTATATTTTGTATTCCTTGTCTTCACTTTCTTATATTTTCCTCTACTTCTTCAGTCAGGTTTGGCTTCTCAGCTTTCATACAGTGGAAAATCGCCCTTGTCATACAGCATGGCACAAAAGTACCCAATTCAGTGGGCACCTTTCAGTTCTTCCTTGACTCCTTTGGTGGTAGATGCTATTTAATCATACCTTCACTCATTGCTTGGTTCCTTTGAAATAATTATCTTTTGGTTGGTTTTTAGCCATTCTTTCTTGGTCTTTTCTTCCTTCTCCTGCAGCTTGAATGGGTGTCTGGCCTTCTAGTATTAATACATACTTTTATTACAATGATCATTTTAAAGTAGATTGTTTTATGTAGAATATTAGCTCTTTGAAAGCAGAAACATTAGTATTTTCATTATTGTCTCCCCAGCAACTACCCTAGTACTTGGCACAAATGTATTTAATAAATATTTGTTTAATGAATATAAATATACTAGTGTTTTTAGCTTTCCTCTATTAAGTGAAGTTAGATACCAGTTTCATTAGCTTTATCTTCTACATTGCAGGATTAACTATATCGGTGCTAGACTTTTTGTGTGTCTATTCAGAAGTTGTTAGTGTCTTGATTGAACATGTTCTCAAGACTCTGATCACTGTTTCCTGCATACTGAGTTTCTGTAGCCTCTGACCCTTGTGCTTTTAGAGCCAAGTAGAACTTTGTCATTATAGAGCCAAGTAGAACATATCTGTAGAAAAAGGAAAGGGAGGTATCTTTTAGTTATTTGTGGCTTCTGGATTGATTCTGAGAGTCTCTTAGGATTTCTTTTTTTGTACCATTCCAGAAACAGATTTTTACTGCTTCAGACAGGCAAGGGGTACATTTTAGTTTCAAAGTGTTATAAGGAGTATTTCTGATGTCTCTGATAGTTGGTGTGGATGACTACAGCTCAGAGTCTGATGTGATTATTATACCTTCAGCCCTGGACTTTGTCTCACAAGATGAAATGTTGACGCCCCTGGGGAGATTGGACAAGTATGCTGCAAGTGAGAACGTATTTAACAGGTATGTGCATATTCTTTTTGTTAAAGTGGAAGTGGAAGGGTGGTTTTACTAACCTTAGTAGGGAAAATGAAAGTATCCATTTTAAAGGAGGTATTATTAACAGGCACAATCTGAGTCACCAAGTTTTATTCGTAATCATAGCATGAGCAGTTTTGTACTTGTTTATTCTTTGATCCTCGTAAGCATACAACATGCTTTCTTTGCAGAAAAATTACCATTAATTACCATTGCTTTTCTGCCACTGGACATAATTTTGGTATTCATATAAATTGCTTATTGGAAAGTACGTTACTCCTTCAACACATGATGTTGTATACCTGCTGTGTGACAGGTGATGCTCAAGGTCATTGGGTCACATGGCAGTGACCAAGAGCCAGCACTCTTCCTGCTGCATTGTGTTTGTCCGGCCACGATCCCAGACCACTTACATCACACTTTTCTGGGAAATCAAAAAGTCTGTTCAGTTTTTTTGGGTATAGCTATGCAAAACTCATACTGTTAAAAATATGTAAGGATAGCATTTTGTATAATAAATGTGTTTTTTCATTATAATAATTGAAAGACAACTGAAATGAATTTTTGGTGACTTTTTGCCCAATCAGTTAGATAAAGATTTAAAAAAATGTTGGAAATATGCAGTCTCATCTTGTTAAAATAAAATCAATACTGCCATTTGCCACTTAGAAAATTATAGACCTAATATATGTTTTCATAATGTAATAAGAAAAAAATTTCTTAAAAAATGTGTAGATTTTGTCTTTTAAAATTCTAGATACCGGCCAGGCGCAGTGACTCATGCCTGTAATCCCAGCACTTTGGGAGGCCAAGTCAGGTGGATAATCTAAGGTCAGGAGTTCGAGACCAGCCTGACCAAAATAGTGAAACCCCATCTCTACTAAAGATATTTAAAAATTAGCCAGGTGTGGTGGTGCACGCCTGTAGTCTCAGCTCCTCAGGAGGCTGAGGTGGGAGGATTACCTGAGCCAGGGAAGTCAGTGCTGTAGTTAGCCGTGGTTGCACCATTACACTCCAGCCTGGGCAACAGGAATGAGGCCCTGTCTCAAAAAAATAAAATTCTGGATATTAGCTGTTGATGCCATTGAACATACGTAATCTTGTTTTTCTTTGTAGACAAATGGTGGCCCGGAGTTTGCTGGATACCTTGAGGGAAGTCTGCGATGATGAAAGAGATTGTATCGCTGTTTTGGAAAGAATTAGCAGATTGGCCGATGATTCAGGTATATGTTCATGTGGAGAAAGTGAATTTACTCTGTTCTAGAAAGGTTTCTTTGACCAAATTTGTGTTTCTAAAAACTAATGAAAAAATTAATGTGATATGAGATGGCTTTAAAATCTTTCCTAAGTAATTATCAAAGCCATCCATGACAACAAAAGTAAAATTTGTTACTGAGACCTGGACATTTTACAGTAGTCTCATTTAGTTTAATTTTAGAAATTTCTCATCAAAACAAGTCTAAAAATATTGTTTTGCATCATGTATATTAATATTTTAGGATTAATAATATCTAGAATAATTTTGAATACATTAAAAGAGATGGAGGAGGCTATAAATTGTTTTAAGCAAATACAGAAAGCTTGCTTTCTCTGTGGTTTCTCACTTTCAAAAAATGTTGATTAACCATTTGTAGAACTACACCTGGTTTATCTCCAAAGTGAAAATGAGAAAGTTGCTTAAGAAAGAGGTAAACTTGATTTGAAGCTTAGAAAATGGTGATGTTAGAGTTTTTACAAATATATCTTTTGTTGTAGTAAAATATGCTTAATACTTAACACATGAAACTATTTTAAGGTAATATTAAGCATATTTTTATACTTGATTTTAGAAACAATCCAAAAATAAATTTTAAAACTTTTTTCCTTAAATCTGTTATCTTTATTAAAGTATATTTTCCATCTCTGACAGACTTTTTGGCATCTCAGCAAGCCCCATCTTTTAATTTTTAGACAAACTCATCTTTTGATGAACAGTTCATTTTAATGGGAATATGTTAAATGTTTACATAAGCCTTAAATGTTCCTAATTTTCTTACAGGGTGGGTACAACATTTATAGGCTTAACTGAGCAATAGTCTACCTTTGTGTACATAATTGCTTATGTATATGCTTGTTCTAAAATGGTTTTAGGAGGGGTCTCATCAAGTATAATTTTTACTTATTTTTTAAATTTGATTTAAGTTAAATAACAATTTAATGTAAATTCATGGCACTGTTAAGCCTATTATGGTTATATTCCTTAGTAAAGACAGATATTTTAAGGATGGATTTGTGTTTTCCTTTATCTGTTTACCAGCTCTAGAGTTTTTTTTGGTAAGTGTGTGGGGGTGTGTGTGTGTATTTTAAAATATGTTCTCACATTGGTAAGTTCATAGTAAATGTCTCTATTGACTTAATTCTATTCATTCAGTATACATCAAACAGTACCTACTCTATACCAGGTTCTAGATTAAATGCTAGAGCAGTCATTAAGGTGAACAAGGATTTCTGTCGTCAAATTAACAGTTTAGTGAATGCAGCCAACATATAAACAGTAAGTTACAGTGGGAAGGATCGGGGCAGGCTTCAGAAAGTTAGTGACGTTTACGTTGGATTTGATCGAATCATGAGGTATAGAGAGGGGAAAGGGCGTACCCAGGAGAGGAAAAGACAAAGGAGTTCAAGAAGGTGGCCCATTTGGTCAGCAGTGAGGCCAACCTGACAATGAGACTAACCTGCTGAGTTTCCAGGTTAGAAAAATTAGGCTGTTAAATAAGGTAGGTGAGGGCTAGATTGTAAAGGTTTATAACAACACGCTGGCATGACGCTTTACCTGTTTTTGTGATTTAAACAGGAGTGTAGTGTAGCAGTATGAACTGATATGGTGAAAAGATGGATGACAAGAAGACTAATTGGAAGACTATCCAATTAATTGGGTGTTTTGGTTTTTGAGACAGAGTCTTGCTCTGTCGCCCAAGCTAGAGCAGAGTGGCGTGATCTCCACTCACTGCAACCACCCCTGCCTCCCAGGTTCAAGCAATTCTCCTGCCTCAGCCTCCCGAGTAACTGGGATTACAGGCATGCATCACTACACCCAGTTAATTTTTGTATTTTTAGTAGAGAAGGGGTTTCACCATGTTGGCCAGGATGGTCTGTAACTTCTCTAACCTCAAGTGATCCACCTGCCTCAACCTCCCAAAGTGCTGAGATTACAGGCATGAGCCACCATGACTGGCCAGTTAATTGCTATAAGGATGAATTGTTGGATAGAAATTGAAGTGCTGGGAGGGATTCCAAGGCTAACCTCTGGATAGAGTGAGGAAGAGAGAGGATTTCACCCTGAGGTTTCTAATTTGTAGGACTGGGCTTATTGTGATATCTGGGTAAGATAAAGACTATTGAATAATAACATAGCTCTGAAGTGAATGAAATATGTATCCTTTGTTTAGACAAATAAGCAGCTGAGAACCTTTCAGTCTTCTGCCTTACCTTTCATTAGCTTTTATCTTGATTTTTTTATTCCGCAAAATTTGCCATCTGTTTTTGTTATTTTCCCCTGGAATGGATGGATGTGTAGTGGTTTCTCATTGTGGTTGTAATTTACATTTCCTCAATAGCCAGTGAAGTTCATACCTGGTTATATACTTACTGGGTATTTGGGTATCCTTTTTTTTTTTTTTTTTGAGATGGCGTCTCACTCTGTCATCCAGGCTGGAATGCGGTGGCACGACCTGGGCTCACTACAACCTCCTCCTCCTGGGTTCAAGTGATTCTTCTGCCTCAGCTTCTCAAGTGGCTGGGATTATAGGCATGCACTACCACGCCCGCCTAATTTTTGTATTTTTAGTAGAGATGGGATTTCTCCATGTTGGCCAGGCTGGTCTTGAATTTCTGACCTCACGTGGTCCACCCACCTCAGCCTCCCAAAGTGCCGGGATTACAGACATGAGCCACCATGCCCGACTTCTTTTTTGAAATGTCTAAGTCTCTTCCCCCTTTAAAAAACTGGCAGTCATTTTCTTACAGATTTACAGGAATTCATTCTGCGTATGAGCCCTATGTTGTTTATGTGTATTGAAGATACCTTTTTCACTCTGTGGCTTGTGTTTGCGCTCATAGTGATGCTTCTTAAAGAAGAGAAGTGCTTTTCTTTTATGGGTTGTGCTGCTTTTGTCTTCTTAGAGATTTTCTCCAATCTGAAAGTCATAATAAATATCTTTTCCTGTATTCTCTAACACAGAGAAGCCTTATTGCTTTTTGCCTTGACATTCAGATCTGTATTCCACCTGGAATTTGTTCATGTGCGTGATATGAAGTGGCGGACAAGTTTCTTTTTTTTTTTTTTTTTTTTAATATGAGGAGCCAGTTGACACAATACCCTTTATTGAGAAGGCCATCTTTCCCAGTTCACCTTGTAATAAATCGGTTGTCTATACATGCATGTGTCTGTTTCTGGGCTTCCCCCCCGCCCCATTAGTCTATTTGCCTAAGCAGGGCTTTGAGGAAAGAAAAGTTGCTTATTTCATTTTTAACTGAAACCATAACTTGTGTCCTCCTTTTGCTTCAAAAATATAAGCAATTGTCAGTGTTAACTTAGAAAATTCAGGATCCGTGAGAATAGCAGAGGCCTGTATGTTTACTTTTTTTCTTCAAAACAGAAACACTCTATTTTGTTCATATCTGGCCAACTTCACATGGTACAACAGTATAATAGAAATTCCAGATATTGGTTTGTTGATAAGATTCTGAACTTTGTAAAATACCATATTTTCTATTTAAAGCTATGTCAATTTCTCTGTTGAGATCTGAAATCCTAGTAGACACATTCATACGTATTTAATGTAATTTTAATAATGCATAATGATAATGGGCACCAAAGTTCTAGTTAGGTCCAATACAATGACTTGTTACTGATAATCCATCATGTCTGTCTGTATTTCAGTCACTTGCATGTCTTCTATGAATTGCCTACTTGTATCGTTATTGTCTTTCTTATTATTTATTTGAACAGTGTGTTCTTTGTGTAGTTGACTTCCTAATACTCTGTTATACATGAATATGCTCCCAGGCTGTTTTCCCTTTTAACTGAATATGGTATCTGTTATCTATAATAAAGTTTTTTCATTTGTTTGTTTTTGAGACAGAGTCTTGTTCTGTCGCCCAGAGTGGAGTGCAGTGGCGCTATCTTGGCTCACTGCAACCTCCACCTCCCGGGTTCAAGTGATTCTACTGTCTCAGCCTCTGGAGTAGCTGGGATTAGAGGCATGTGCCACCACCCCTAGCTAATTTTTGTATTTTTAGTAGAGACGGGATTCACCATGTTGGCCAGACTGGTCTCGAACTCCTGACCTCAAGTGATCTGCCTGCCTCGGCCTCTCAAAGTGCTGGGATTATAGGCACACCCAGCCTATAATAAAGTTTTTATAAAGTAAAATTAGTTGGTCTTATGGTTGATTTTTGGATTTTGTCTTCCCATCTCAAGATTGAACATTTAATATTATCTTTTAGTTCTTTTGATCTTTATGTATGATGTGCAGTAGGTACTTTCGTTCCGTGCTAACTAGCTGATTTTCCTACTGCTGCTTCTTAGACATTTCATCTTTTTGAAGCCCAGAGATTTGAAATGTCATATTTCTCACATTTAAATTTGCCATATGCACTTGGGTCTTTTCAGGTTTTTAAAAAATATTTGTCACCTTTAATTTTCATTTACCCATTTTTAGTCTTAGTTAAGTCTAATTATGTATCTTTCATTTATTGACTAAGTTGAGATTAGGAGCTAGTTTTTATGACTTGTCCTAGTAGGTTCTTAAATAGTGGAGTTTATCGATAATACTATGTATGTATCACAGTATTGATGTAAATATCAGATAGGATATTTAACCCCTCGCACAGTGTGGCATAGTGTAGGTGATGAATAAATTTATTGTTAAGAAATGGTTAGATACTCAGTGCATACTGTGAACAACAGAAGCTTGGGGTGAAGATAAGGTCCTCCTTTCACTCATGGGATTGATCTGTGTATGATTCTGAAAAGGATTGCAGAATTAAAGGATGTTGTCCCAAGTCCTTTATATTTTGAAGATGAAAATCCAAAGCCTTCCTAAGTATCCTCAAGTCCAGATAAAGGTTTTGTTACTGCAGGAGAACATGTTTGCTCACATTGCTGTTATCTCAATAGAACCAACTGTGAGAGCGGAGCTGATGGAACAGGTGCCTCACATCGCACTGTTTTGTCAAGAAAACCGGCCTTCAATACCATATGCGTTTTCCAAATTCTTACTACCTATTGTGGTTAGATATCTTGCAGATCAGAATAATCAGGTAAGAGTACCATTTATATGTTCTTAAAAGAAATTTGCGTAGTGTAATATATGGAGAATAGCCTAGCCTAAGTGTTCTCTTTGGAATGTTTTTTTCCTCTTTAACTCGGTTACTGTTTTTCAAAAATGAACATTTATCTTAGACAAGATGTGTTTAGAGTCTGACAAATCTAGTACATCCCTTTAATGCCATTATAGACAATGCCTAGTAACTGCACTGTCACTTGGTAACCTCCTAGGGGTCCCTCAAAATGTTTGTTACTTTGTGAGGAACCTTTTACCAGGATGGCTCTGTCCACTTCCTCTGTTACAACACAATCTACCAAGTTCTGTAGTCTTTGTAATAGTTGAAGAAAATAAACACATTTATTTGCAGAGTTTTGCCAGTTATGGATCCCTTTGAGGTGAGAAATCTTTGTTTTAAAAGTCAAGTGGTAGAATTTTGTTGTGTCGCATATGTACTTTGTTTGTGTTGTTATTTTTCTCCTAGGTGAGGAAAACAAGTCAGGCAGCTTTGTTGGCTCTGCTGGAGCAGGAGCTCATTGAACGATTTGATGTGGAGACCAAAGTGTGCCCTGTCCTCATAGAGCTGACCGCCCCAGATAGCAATGATGACGTGAAAACAGAAGCTGTGGCTGTAAGTCAAATGGCATTTTTCCGTTTATGCAAAATGTGGCTGATAAGAGGTGCTTATTAAAAGTTAGGCTGGGGTCGGGCGCGGTGGCTCATGCCTTTAATAATCCCAGCACTTTGGGAGGCTGAGGTGGGTGGATCACTTGAGATCAGGAGTTTGAGACCAGCCTGGGCAACATGGTGACACCTGGCTCTACTAAAAAAAATACAAAAATTAGCCAGGCATGGTGGTGTGCACTTGTAGTCCCTGTTACTTGGGAGACTGACGCAGGAGAATCATTTGAACCTGGGAGGAGGTGGAGGTTGTAGTAAGCCAAGATCAGGCCACTGCACTCCAGCCTGGGTGACAGAGCAAGACTCTGCCTCAAGTAAAAAAAAAAATTAGGCTGGGCTGGGTGCAGTGGCTGACGCCTGTAATCCCAGCACTTTGGGAGGCCAAAGTGGGAGGATCACTTGAGACCAGGGGTTTGAGATCAGCCTGGCCAACATGGCAAAACCCCATCTCTACTAAAAATACAAAAAAAATTAGCTGGGTGTAGCGGCACATGCCTGTAATCCCAGCTACTCTGGAGGCAGAGGCACGAGAATTATTTGAACCTGGGAGGCAGAGGTTACAGTGAGCGGAGATCATTCCACTGCATTCCAGCCTGGTTGACAGAACAAGACTCTGTCTAAAAAAAAAAAAAAAAAAAAAAAAAGGCTGCTTTACCTTGTTTAACACATTTCTGTTAAAGTTGCCACAAATCATTAAATTTGAAATATAATCAGGGCTAGAAGGGGACATAAATGCTTACAGAGGAAAATGTACCTTCTGCAAACAATAAGAAAACAATAAATAATTGTAAATTATTATGTCAAAATGGAAAACTGAAATGGGTATTTTATCAGTGCAGTTAAAATTTTAAAAACCCTGTATTGAATGAAGAAACACTTGAACCCCTTCAGCAGGTATTGACCACTTTTCTAGGCACTGTCAGCACAGTGGAAATAAAATAATACTTGGCTCCTGCTCTGACAGGTACGGTCTTTGTGGGAAGGATGGTCAGGCAAGTACATTTCCCAGGAAATATGACATCATTGATGGTTATCAGAAGAATATACAGATTGTTAAGCCATTATGCACATCATAAAGTCAAATGTAATAGGAAGATTCTGGGTTTTTTTGACTTAGTTTGCAAATATTCTGATTACTTGAAGGCCATGAGAGGGCATGAATTAGAATGGAGTAGTATCTGTTGTGATTCACATCTGTGGTTCCTGAATTCGGATAGTAGTAATTCTGATGATAAATTTATTCAAATCTATTTGGATAGTAAGAGTTCACTCCTTAAACCTAAAATAATATGGTTGCATCTTTGTTGATATTTTTTAAAAATTACACTATATGTAGTGCTTCTGGATTATCATTAGTGGGATGAATTAGATGATCTTTCTAGTCTCTTTCCCTTGAAGAATTTCTTGAATCTATTATTTTTAGATACTCAGTTACCAGTTAATAATAAATTTACTTTTTCAGTAATGTTTTTATTGAAGTGAAACTTACATGACATAAAATCATTTTAAAGTGTTAGTGGCATTTAATATGTTCACAAAGTTGTATGACCACCACTTCTTCCTAGTTTCAAAACATCATTATTTCTTTTTTTACTTTAAGATTTTTTCAATGAAGGAAGTCAGTTTTGGTCTTGGCCTAATTTTTGGTTTATATTGAGCTATTTAACTTGCTGTATTATCATTCTCGATGCAATGTGAAATTAGTAAAACATTATAATAAAAAATTTAAAAACTATATCCAGTGGTAGTAGGAATCTCATGATTCTCTTACAGTTGTGTTTGTTTTTTGGTCATGTTTTATATTTCTTGGCTTCCATATTTTCTCTATCTTGATAGAGAAGTTGTAATTATTTCTTAATAAAAACTAATTTCTTAATAAAATAATTCACTTTTAAATAAATTTAGTTATGCTACATCAGTGATATACAGCATAACTTTGAATTGTTAACTAGAGCATGGAGATGCTTATTCAAAAAACAAAACTGGCTTTGGGATTTAGGAGATGTAGGCCTTGTCTCCAGTTCTGATGATGATGGGATTTTCATGGGGATAGTGTTGAATCTATAGATCAATTTGGAGAGAATTGCCAGTTTTACAGTCTCTGAACATGGTAGATCTATTTATTTAGGTCTTTGATTTATATCTTTAATCTTTTATAGTTTTCAGCAGAAAGTTCTTGAGTGTATTTCGTTCAATTTCATATTTTTTTAAAAGTACTTCTGTGAATGATACTGTTTTTAAATTTTCCAGTTCATTGCTAATTTGTAGAAATAGAATAGATTTTTGTAGTCTAATTTATAGCCTACAACCTTCCTAAACATACTTATTTATTCTGGTGGCTTCTTTGTAGATTCCTTCTGATTTTCTATATAGACAACCATGTCATATTTGAATAGAGAGAATTTTCTTTCTTTACAGTCTTTATGTATCTCTTTTACTTCTTTATTTTGTCCTGTTTGTACAGTCTAACAATTGATAGAATTGTTAAATGACGACAGGCTATCCCATTTCTTTCTGTATTAACTGCCGGAGCAATGTATCTAAATAGAGGGCCAGTTTTCAAATAAAGTTAATCCTCACTTTGCCTGCTTTTAACTGAAACATGCCTATATCAGAACTGTGTCCACGCTTTCCCTGGAACTGAAGCTTTGCAAAACCAGAACATGGTTCTGATATGTATGAGCTTTAGTTCACTGGGTGCTTTTCAAGGCAAGGACTGAATTATTTTGTTAGCAATACAGATATGCTAAATCTAGATCTTTCCTGGGGATAATTTTCCCCTTGAACAGTCACTAATTTTTTAAATTGGGAAAATGTAGGTTTTTGTTTGTTTTGCTTTTAAAATTACCAGGCAAAATGATGAAGTAGTAATAAGATGGAAACTGGACAAAAATGAAATTGTTAGGATTTTCCGTGGGTTTATTGGGCATGAAGTATTTATTGGTTGTTTTTATTGATTGTGGTTAATATCTGTCTTTGTTTCCTGCTTAGATAAATAAGATGAAATTAATAATTGGCTATGAATATTTTCTGTGATGTATATAGTATAATGATGCCATATCATATTTTGTTTCCTTAAATTATATATACTTTTATTAAATTATTAAATTTAACTGAAAGAGCCTTACTTGATATTTTCAGTTGTGTGTTTGTTCTTACTTATTTTAGATAATGTGCAAAATGGCTCCCATGGTTGGGAAGGACATTACAGAGCGTCTTATCCTCCCTAGGTTTTGTGAGATGTGCTGCGATTGCAGAATGTTTCACGTTCGAAAGGTATTTTTTTTCTTCTGTTTAAAAACATAGTGCTAGTGGTTAATGTACTGATACATGACATTTAAAAGATTATCTTAGAAGAACCTTATGTGTAATATTTTGAAATGTCAATGATGCTTTTGTTGTCAGGTCTGTGCTGCCAATTTTGGAGATATTTGCAGTGTAGTTGGGCAGCAAGCTACTGAAGAAATGTTGGTAAGTATTGCAGATACAAAGGAGTAAACAGTGTGTGTTACAAAGTAGTACATAAAGTTTGAAATGCACACATTTACTCCAAAGTTTTATTAACACAATTCCATGAATATAAACCAGAAAGATAATAACTTTGAATTTAGGAGTTTAAATATCTGTAATCTGGGCGTTTGAATTATATTTTTGATATTTATTAAAAATATAGATATGTTTCAGAACCATTGATCTGTTTTTACCTCTTCCATTTCTGTTAAGCAAATCAATTCTTGTTCAATTGAATCTTTAATTTTGTTGCAACCCTCAAGAATGTTGATGGCATATTAAATGTATAGCATGTTAGTTTTAAGTAGTACACAAGATGCATATACTTGATGTATAAGGCATCATACCTAAAGAGTTTCTGAAGCCATCTCTTATGCAAAATAATCAAGCTTAGGGGCAAGCGCTTGTATAACATTAAGCTATGATTGTTGAGAGTGCTTTTGCATAGCCAGTTGAGTTATAAATTAGATGTGATTTATTGAAAATTGTTGAGTATAAATACGAATAGATCCTACTTTTTAAGACAATCCAATATTTCAAATACTAAGGCCAGGCGTGGTGGCTCACACCTGTAATCCTAGCACTTTGGGAGGCCAAAGTGGGTGGATCACCTGAGGTCAGGAGTTCGAGAACAGCCTAACCAACATGGCGAAACCTCATTTCTACTAAAAATACAAAAATTAGCTGGGCGTGGTGGCACACGCCTGTAATCCCAGCTACTTGGGAGGCTGAGGCAGGAGAATTGCTTAAACCCGGGAGGCGGAGTTTGCAGTGAGCCGAGATCGCACCACCTCACTCCAGCCTGGGCAAAAGAGTGAGACTCTGTCTCAAAACAAACAAACAGACCAAAAAAACAAAGCAGAAAATGAAAGCAAAGTAACTAATGAAATCTGCTATCTTTATCCAACTAACAAGACTCTTTCCTTTTCACATAGCTGCCCAGATTTTTCCAGCTTTGTTCTGATAACGTATGGGGAGTCCGAAAGGCTTGTGCTGAATGCTTCATGGCAGTTTCATGTGCAACATGTCAAGAAATCCGACGGACCAAATTATCAGCACTTTTTATTAATTTGATCAGTGATCCTTCACGTTGGGTAGGGTTTTGATTATCACTTTTGTAAAATAATACATTTGTGTCCATTTTAAAGCAAACATAATTTTGACCTCATAAGAAATAACTTATAATCTAAGATATATTATTTTTTATACTTTTAGGGATAGACAGTAGAAAGACTCCTATATTAACAGTTTTTATGTTTTTTGGTAACAGGACAAAAATTTCTTTACAACTTTAAGTCCTGTTGATTTTTATTTAATTGGCATGTTGTATTATGTTAACTAATTTTTAGATGTTAAACCACTTGCGTCTTTGGAGTAAGTCCCGCTTGGTCATAGTGTATACCTCTTTTTATATGTTGCTGGATTCAGTTTGTCAGTATTTTGTTGAGGATTTTTGTGTCCATATCATGAGAGATATTAGTCTGTAGTTTTCTTATGGTGCCTTTGTCTGGTTTTGTCAGAGTAATAATGGTCTTATAAAATGTGTTAGGAAATGTTCCCTCCTCTACTATTTTTGAGGATAGTTTTTTAAGAATTGGTATTGATTATTCCTTAAATGTTTGGTTGAGGTCAGTGGTGAAGCCGTCTGGGCCTGGGCTTTTCTTTGCCGATAGTTTTAAAATTCCTAATTCAATCTCTTCACTTGTTTTTTCTTGAGTCAGTTTTCATAGTTTGTATCTTTCTAGGAATGTTGTACATTTCATCTAAGTTACTTAATTTTGTTGGTATATGATTATACGTAGGATTCCTTTATCATCTTTTAATTTCCGTAATGTCAGTAGTAATGCCTCTTCTTTCATTTCCTATATGAGTAATTTGAGTCTTGCTCTGTTTCTTGGCCAGTCTGCTAAAGGTTTGTCTGTTTTGTTGAGCTTTTTAAAGAACCAACTTTTGGTTTCATTGGTTTTCTCTATTTTTCTATTATTCATTAATTTCCATTTTAATCTTTATTCTCACTTCTGCTTGCTTTTAGTTTGCTTCTTTAGGCGGAAGGTTAGGTTATGGATTAGAGGTCTTCCTTCCTTCTTTGAATTATCTTCTGGGGTAAATGGCTTTCAACCTGAAAAACTTAATTTTAGAATTTCTTGTTAATGTAGTTCTGCAAACAACTGTTTTCATTTATCTGTGAATGTCTTTATTTCACCTTCGATTTTGAAAGACAGCTTTGCTTAACGTGAGATTGGGTGTGTTATGCCACTGCCTCTGACCTCTTCTGTTTCTGCTGAGAAGTCAGCTGTTAATCATATTGGGGTTCCCTTGTAAGGGATGTGTCATTTTTCTCTTGTTGCTTTCTGGATTTTTCTCCTTGCCTTTGACTTTCAGAATTTTTACTGTGATGTATCCGTATGTGCAGCTCTTTTAGTTTATACTACTTGGAGTTGAGTTGATTGAACTTCCTAGTTATGTGAGTTACGTTTTTCTATACATTTGAAAAATTTTGAGCCAACATTTCTTCAAATATTTTTCTTTCTCTTCTCTCCCTGTAATATTCCTATTGTATATATGTTAATGTGCTTAATGGTGGCCTACATTTCTTTGAGGCTCTTTTCATTTTTCCTCATTTTTTCCCCTCTCTGTTCTTTGGCTTGCATAATCTCTATTGATCTATCTTCAGTAGATCAATTCTTTGTTCTGCCAGGTCAGATCTACTGTTGAGCTCATGTATTGACTTTATTTTAGTCATTGCACTTTTCAGCTGTAGAATTTCCATCTGGTTCTTTTTTATAATTTCTCTTTATTGATGTTATACTCTAGTTGATGCAGCACTATCCCCATACCTCCCATTACTTCTGTAATCATAATTTCCTTTGGTTCTCTGAACATGTTTATAATAAGCTTACTTGAAGTCTTTTTTTTTTTTTTTTTTGAAGACAGAGTCTCGCTCTGTCGCCCAGGCTGGACTGCAGTGGCCGGATCTCAGTTCACTGCAAGCTCACTTCCCGGGTTTAGGGCCATTCTCCTGTCTCAGCCTCCGGAGTAGCTGGGACCACAGCGCCCGCCAACTCGCCCGGCTAGTTTTTTTTGTATTTTTTAGTAGAACGGGGTTTCACCGTGTTAGCCAGGATGGTCTCGATCTCCTGACCTCGTGATCCGCCCGTCTCGGCCTCCCAAAGTGCTGGGATTACAGGCTTGAGCCACCGCGCCCGGCCTGAAGTCTTTTTTTAAGTCTGAAATCTGATTGCTCTCACAATCAGTTTCTGTTGCCTGTCTCTTTTATCCCCCTAATGTATGGATTTTTTTTTTTTTTTTTTTTTGCCTGCCTTGTAATGTTTTGTTGAGAGTTGAACATTTTAGGTAATATATGTAGTAACGTTGATACTGGTTGTCCTCGCTCCCCCATGGGGCTTGTTACCATTATTTGCTTGTTTAGTGACTGGCTAGAATGCTTGGGTGAAGACTGTTTGCCCATTCTAGGAGGTACAGCTTTGGGTCTGCCCACAGTCACGCTGGTATGACAGGGGCTTGGTGGGTATGGAAGGGCAGCAGCCTGAGGTTCCATTGGCTTCTTTCTCCTGGTGAGGACTCACCACCCTGTGAGCTAGACCAGTGGCTTTTGGGGCCCCAGCCTTTTCAGTGTGCCACACCCAAAGGAGGGTGGAAGAAAGGAGCCTCACCCCTCAGCTGCTGTCACTCAGGACTGGGCCTCAGCATCAGGTAGCTGAGGCAAAGCAGCCTGTGCCCAGGAGCTGCGGGAGAGCAGACCCCAGTGTGCTTGGCTACAGCACACTGAGTCTCACACCTCACCTCACTGGAGGTAGTATAAGGAGGAAATGGTCGGCCGGGCGCGGTGGCTCACGCCTGTAATCCCAGCACTTTGGGAGGCTGAGGAGGGTGGATCACGAGGTCAGGAGATGGAGACCATCCTGGCTAACACGGTGAAACCCCGTCTCTACTAAAAATACAAAAAATTAGCCGGGCGTGGTGGCGGGTGCCTGTAATCCCAGCTACTCTGGAGGCTGAGACAGGAGAATGGCGTGAACCAGAGAGGCGGAGCTTGCAGTGAGCCAAGATCGCGCCCCTGCACTCCAGCCTGGGCGACAGAGCGAGACTCTGTCTCAAAAAAGAAAAAAAAAATAGAGTCTCAGCTTTTTTAGGATGTATACGACATTTTGTCAGTTTTCTGGAATTGATATCCCTTCATTTGCTGCTTGCTCCTAGGGTCATTTCCAGGGGCTTTGAATTATTGTTTTATAATTTTCGCTTCACCGGGAAGTGGGTCAGCTGAGCACCTCACACAGTCATGGCAGAGATCAGTCTCAGGAGCTTTGCATATTCATTCCCAAAACAAAATTGACGTAGAGGGCAAGACTCTTAAGCCTTGATATTTTATTAATGTTTTTGTCATATCCTGTATCGGCTTGTTAGGAAAGATTAGCATAGCTTGCTTAAAGTTTTCTTGGTGAAGCTATGTATTTGGTCATTGTTTGGATTGGTAACATGCATTAGTTCCTATTAATTTGAGAATATGGATGTGTCAGTCATTTTAGAGATGTACAGCTGTTCCTTGGTATCCATGGAGGATTGGTTCCAGGACCACTTGTGGATACCAGAATCTGAGGATACTCAAAAGTCTCTGATATAAAATGGCATAGTATTTGCATGTAACCTATGCACATCCTCCTGTACACTTTAAATCATCTCTAGATTACTTACATCTAATACAGCATAAATGCTATGTAAGTAATTGTTATCTGTATTATTTAGGGAATAATGACAAGGAAAAAGTCTGTACTTGTTCCGTACAGACACAACCAATGATGGATCTAACTATGTTTTCAATGTGGAATTAGTTGAACCCACAGAACCTGTGGATACAGAGGGCAGACTATATATGCTGCACCTGTCTGAGAAAAATATGTGTCTTATGCCTATTTTACACACACACACATACGCACGTGCGCACGTAAAAACTATGCCTATTTAGTTGCCAAAAAAAGACAAGATAGTCTTTTGTCTGAACAGTGTTAAGCCATTTGGGGAAGGTTATAATCTACTGTATTATCTCTTCTCAAAAGTTAAAATTGGATTAAAAGTTAATTTTATTTCTGAAATTCTTTAATATTTATTCTTTGAGTGACTTACGGGTTTTTTAGTGGTTTCCAGAACCTTTGTTTAAAATCATTAGTTGTTTATTTCTTAAAGTCATTGAAACTAGTAAAAGCAGTAGCTTAAAGTCAGTTTATTTTGAGGAATAGCTCAAAGTAGCAATATTTTTATAGTGTTGGAAAATTATTCAATTATAGGCAGTGGGGTGTGTTGGAGAGTTAAAATTGGACTTTAGTCCTGATTTCATTGTAACTATAGGGTAACATGGAAGAAGTCATTTTATTTGGATTCCATTTTTTTTTTTTTTTTTTTTTTTTTGAGACGGAGTCTCGCTCTGTCGCCCAGGCTGGAGTGCAGTGGCCGGATCTCAGCTCACTGCAAGCTCCGCCTCCCAGGTCTACGCCATTCTCCTGCCTCAGCCTCCCCAGTAGCTGGGACTACAGGCGCCCGCCACCTCGCCCGGCTAGTTTTTTGTATTTTTTTAGTAGAGACGGGGTTTCACCGTGTTAGCCAGGCTAGTCTCGATCTCCTGACCTCGTGATCCGCTCGTCTCGGCCTCCCAAAGTGCTGGGATTACAGGCTTGAGCCACCGCGCCCGGCCCAGTTTCTGTTTTTGTGAAATCAAGGAGGTAGATTAATAGTAGGATTTAATTAACTCTTACTAGACACTCTAAGGTGTATCTGTCCTCCGCATTAAACTTTTTTCATTCTAATCTAACAACAAGGTAAACTAATGATTTAGATAAATTAAGTTTTCTATGTCCTTTATTGGGAACAAGCTCAGAGATTTAACAATATTCAAAGAAGATTAAATTCATGCATACCGTGTTAGAAGTGACCTTTTATCCTTTTATGGAAGTAATGTTTGGTGACTTACGAAGAGGAGAAAAACCCTTTGTTTACACACATATGAGCTATTCTTTTCTCTCTCATGTATATAATTCTAGCCTTTTTAAAAAACCAATTGCGTCATTTCTTATATATGCTTCTCCAAGAGTAAGTAAATACTAATAATAGATATGCTTTACATTTATTTGCTTTTGTAAAAATCATGCTTACTATATAATTATCTTAAACTTGAAAAAGGTGTTAATGCCTTTTTTTTTTTTTTTTTTTAAAGAAAAGGAATGCTAGCCAGGAGCAGTGACTCACACCTATGATCCTAACACTTTGGGAGGCCGAGGTGGGAGGATTGCTTGAGACTAGGAGTTCAAGACCAGTCTGGGCAGCATAGCAAGACCCTGTCTCTGCAATTAAAAAAAAAAGAAAAATTAACTGGATGTAGTGGCGCATGCCTATAGGCCCCAACTATTCATGAGGCTGAGGTTGGAGGATCACTTAAGCCAAGGATTTTGAGGCTGCAGTGAGCCATGGCAGCACCATTGTTTTCCAGCCTCCACAACAGAGCGAGACCTGCCTCAAAGGAAAAGGAATGCTAAACTTCAGGGAAATTGGTGTGTGGCAAAGTCAAGGTTTTAGTAACATACCAGTTTTCCCATTGTTGTTGCCTTTGTCTGATTGTGTCCATCCATCCTTCTTTATATAAAACCTCTCATTTTCAAAAATATGACATGAAGTGAAATTCTATAACTTTTTTATCACCCCCAAATGAGACAGTCATCGAGAACAATAGTTTATGCTTCGAGATCTTTGTGACATATATTTTAAGTTAACATTATATTTCTGGTACATCTGTCTTGCTTCCTTGTAGTGAACAAAGTAAAGTCTTTCCTACCTGAAAACATTAAATGTATTTATCACATTTTGTTGACTTTATTGATTTTTATGTTCTTTGTGGCACTCTTGGTTTTCCTTATTCTTTTTGTTCTTGAGAACACAGCAGGACTTTCTTTAGTTTTGTTCTATGCAAATGTTTTATAGTATCTCATACTTAGATTATCATGGTTCAAACATTCAAGAGAGGATAAAAATAATTGAAAGTAAAGAAGAACCAATAGGGATTTGTTTGTTTGTTTGATGTGTGTGGTGTTTGGGGGCTTTTTTTAGACAGTCTTGCTCTGTCACCCAGGCTGGAGTGCAGTGGTGTGATCACGGCCCACTACAGACGTAGCCTCACGGGTTCACCTGCTTCTTCCACCTCAGGCCCTGCCGAGTAGCTGGGACCACAGACATGCGCCACCATGCCCTGCTAACTTTGGTATTTTTTGTAGAGACTGGATTTCGCCATGTTGCCCAGGCTGGTCTCAAACTGCTGGACTCAAGCGATCTGCCCAGCTTGGCCTCCCAGAGTGCTGGGATTACAGGCATGAGCCACTGCGCCCAGCCAGAGAAAATAGCTTGTAAGAATTTTTCAATCCTAGCTAAAGTTCTGAATTTGGGCTTCCTTTAGAAAAGCTTTATTACTATCCTAAACATACTTTGGCATTTGAAAGTAGATTATTAAATATATATAATGTGTGTGTGTGTATAATTCTTTTCAAAAACGATTCCTTTATTGAATTGTCCTTTTTCTCTTCCTAGGTTCGCCAAGCAGCTTTTCAGTCTCTGGGGCCTTTCATATCTACTTTTGCTAATCCATCTAGCTCAGGCCAGTATTTTAAAGAAGAAAGCAAAAGTTCAGAAGAGATGTCAGTAGAAAACAAAAATAGGTATAATTTTAAAACTTTGTTTTCTAATTGTACTGCTTTTAAACATTATTTCCACTATTCTGCAACAAATGTTATTGTTTGATAGTTTGCTGTTTCTGTTGAATATAAAAATTGGTGAATATTTTTATAGAGCTTTTTTTTAAGTGCATTTGTTTGTTAAGTATCTCTTTGGTTACATATCGAATGAGTAGATGCATGTAACACAATTAGGTAGTTGCCTGGCACATAGGAAACTAAATGATAGATTATGACTTTAAAAAAAAACGTTTATTTAATACATTATTTACCTAGTCAGTCTTTCATTGATATCTACAATATACAGAGTAATTGTTATACACTGTGTAATATTTTGTTTTTTGTTTTTTAAGGAGTAAAACTTAATTTAGGAATAGGTTTTATTGTCCTTTTCTGTCAAATAATTTAGTTGTGCATCTTGGATTCTCTGTCAATGGTGATTGTAATCTGTCAGTTTAAGGAGAAAGCACTGGAATGATTAACACCAATTTAGTATATTTATTAGCCAGTATATCAGTTTTAAGTATATCAGTCTCATAGGGAAACCAGAGTTTTAAATAAAGCTTAAAGAGTCAACTGGGATTTTTATTTTTAAATGTTTTTGCATCAAAAATTTTCTATTAAATTTAAATTTTTAGAATTTATTATAATATATATTTAGGGGAAAAATTAATTCAAGCCTAAGTTATTAGTATGTGGGAAATGTACACAAACTTTTACAGTTATGCACTTGTACAAGTTTTTGAAACAGTCCCTGCTATAATGCTTGAGTTACCGTAGTGTCTTTTCCCTCCCTTGTCATGATGCTAATGGACATTTTCTTCTGTAGGTCTTGATACTGTGCTATTTGCTTTCTTGGTGTTTTGATTTGGCAGTTCTTCTTTCTTCTCTGCTGCCTTGTTTTACCTTTTTGCCCGTTCTCCTACTGTCCTGCTGAATAGCCAAACAAACCTGAGGTACTGTTTTTTGTAAAGGAAGAAAATCACTCAAACCTGTCTTCCTAGCAAGCAAAGTCTGTCAGTTTTTTTTGAAAACAGGTGCTGCAAGGAGTTTGACAAAAGTGATGATGGTGGGTGGGGAATGTTATCTATTTTTCATTTTTGAAATCAGCATACTTAAATTGTGTATACTGAAGACTGTTACATAACTTTTGTTTTAAAATCTGAAATGGGTCTAGTAAGTCAAACTATAAATTTACGGAGAATTATATAGGACGAGTTGGTAAACTTTCTTCTCTTTCACAACTACTCACTCGGCCTTTGCAGTGTATAAGCAGCCATAGACATTACATAAATGGACAAGCTTGGCTGTGTTCCAGTAAAACTTCACTGACCTAAACAGTGTGCCTATCAAGGCCATGTTTGCTGTCTACCGGTGTGTAGCATTATTGCAAGAGCTATTTAAAGGTAGTTTAATTTCTTGATTCTTCTTCCATTGTAATAAGGTATGTCTTAATGTCCAGGCAATACTACTTGTATTGCTGATCTTCAGTAATATTATTAGAGCTTATTAAATTACGTTAATGATATGGTGGGGGGAAGAGAGCATTCCTGGCTAAGGAAGGAGTTATGTAAAAGCTTTTACATTGTAAAAGCTTTTGCACATTTTGACATTCTATCTTTATAAAGAAGTAGTACTGTATATTATTAAATCTCAGAACCATTAGTTTGTTTGCCCTTCCTTAGATCGCACACTGGCATTTGTCTTAAGCTGTCTTAAACTGTTGTGGTGTTAAGATTGATTGATTGATTATGCAAAAGTTAACTGAGCACTTACTATGAACCAGAAACTTTAAGTGGAAAGATAGAACTTAGTTCCTGTCCTCAAAGTTCTCTCAGTTTCTTAGATTCAGGTTTTTCAAACAAATGTCTTACAAAGTAAGAAAGTTTTTGGCAACATATTTCCACCACTGTTTATTGTATAGTGTTTCATCTGACCCTAGAAACGTTTACCATCACTTCATTACTGTTTGAAGCATGTATTGATTCCAAACATCTGACTTACACATTAGATCTTTCACTCACCCTGGATCAGGCTATTAATGCTTCTTTGAAAGTGCTGATAGGCCGGGCGCGGTGGCTCAAGCCTGTAATCCCAGCACTTTGGGAGGCCAAGACGGGCGGATCACGAGGTCAGGAGATCGAGACCATCCTGGCTAACCCGGTGAAACCCCGTCTCTACTAAAAAATACAAAAAACTAGCCGGGCGAGGTGGTGGGCGCCTGTAGTCCCAGCTACTCGGGAGGCTGAGGCAGGAGAATGGCGTAAACCCAGGAGGCGGAGCTTGCAGTGAGCTGAGATCCGGCCACTGCACTCCAGCCTGGGTGACAGAGTGAGACTCTGTCTCAAAAAAAAAAAAGAAAGTGCTGATAAAGCCTGCTTCACAGAAACAGAGTTGAAATACTCAAATCTGCATTTTGAAAGTATGTAAAATAAGCATTCCTTATCACATTGTTTTCTGAACGCACCATGTTCTCTTAATTCTCCCTGTTTTTATACTTGCTGCTGTCTGGGAAGCTTCTTGTTCCATCCATACCCTCGTTTAACAAAGTCCTGTCTTAGACTCACTGACTTGTCCAGGAAGTACGGAGCTTTTGTCTTCGTCATCAGTAGTGCTGTGAGCACTATTTTAATCCTGTCCTTTTGGCTACATATTGGCATCTATCATCAGTAGCCTCCCGGCCATGCATTGTGGCATCCAGCTCCTCCCATTGTCTCTGCTGGGACTTGCCCTTTGGTGCACATATTAATCCTGAATGAATTATTCTAGGAAAATATGGATTTGACCTCAAAAATCTAAAGTAACTAAACCTCTTTTGCTGGGGTTTTCCAGTTTAGCTTAATGCTAACTATATGAAAAAAAAATCTTAGCACAAATTTGGAAATATTTCATGAATGCTAAAACTTCGTTGAGTTAATTCACAGTACTTGGAAGGTGTATCCAGGAGTGTGTTTGCTTTTATCTCAGGATACAATGCCTCTTTAGCCAGATGTTCTATAAGTCATTTTCTCCTTGAAATACCTGTAATTAATTTTCTAGGCCCATAGTCTCTAGTAAGGAACTCTGAGGATATTAATTGCAAACTTATGTAGGCACAAAAAGACACTTAGATTCCTCCTTAAGTAGGTAGTTTCTGGACTGTCCTCTGGTGCTCTTGATACCTACGTCTCTTAGGAGACAGGGTAATTCTCATTGTACAGAGTCACAAAGGGCCTCAGTTTTCAAAAAAAATTTGTCTTGCACAATAGCTTTTCAAAGTCTGACAATTAGGAATATCAGAATTTTAGCATTGGACAGCTTGATTTTGCATTGACTATTATACTTTACCAGGAAAAATTCGAATTTAGAGAATTTATACTTTTGACATTTTTGAAGCCATGCATGCTATAGTTCTATCCAGAGTTTAATACTGTACTAGGGAAAACTTCGTCTTCTAGTTTCATTCTAAGAGTTTTAACTTTGGACAAACTAACAAGTTTACATTTATCAGACAAACAGTTATTTGACCAGTCATTCTCCATTCATTTTTGCAGCTGAGAATATTAAAATTTAATTTTAACACCAAGGTGAGATATTGATCAAGGAATTTCAAGCACCTGTAATTCCATCACTTTGGGAGGCTGAGGCAGGAGGATCGCTTTAGCCCAGGAGTTTGAGGCTGTAGTGAGCTATGATCATACCACTTTACACCAGCCTGGGCTACAGAGTGAGACCCTGTCTCTTAAAAAAAGAATAAACAAAAGCAGAAGTTCATTATATTTATTAGATAGTACATATGAGGTCTTACAAGTTTTATCCATTTGCTCTTCTCTTCCCCCTTTCTGAACAGTATCTTATTATAAATTTAAAATTTTAGTTTGAATGATTTCAGAAATTTTGCAAGAATATCACAAAGAATTTCATATATCCATCTAGATTTTCCAAATACTGTTTTACCATATTTGCTTTATTCTTTTTTCTGAACTCTATGAGAATACGTTTTAGACATGATATTCTTTTTACCTTTTTAAAATAGTATGTGTTTCCTTAAAGCACAGATGTTAATATGTAACTGTAGTCCAGTTACCAAAATTAGGAAATTAACATTGATACAATACTGTTAGCTAATCTGTAGCCTTTATTGAATTTTACCAGTTGCCCACTAATGTTCTTTATAACAAAAGGGAAAATTATGTATTTTTTAATATGGACAAAATGGGAAATATGTGATTCATAGACATATAGAAGACACATTTATTTTACATAATAGCAGTAGTTTCAGGAGCTCCTTTGGGAGAGAGAAAACCATCTTACAGGTTATCTAGGTCAACTCCTCATTTTTATGAATAAGGAATAAGTGAGGAATCCTAGAAGTCATTAAAAGGCTCAGAGTTTTATATTAATGTAGTGCCAGTGTGAGAGTAAGAACTTAAAGTCTGGTGTCCTCACACTTGTAAGTAATTGTATTATATATGCATACTATATATATTGTAGTTACAAGAATAGAAGAAAAATACCAGAATTTAAAATGCAGTCACAATGTGTTATGTTTTCAGATGACTTAACAAATATGTTTTGGTTCATCAGTATTTTAAAAAATAATCACCTGTTTGTGAAAATACGGTTTTTAAAACAGTGAGCATTATGATGAGAGGGAACTTCCTAATTTCATGAGAATGTAGATGGTGACTGTTGAACTGGGAGCCCACATAGGTATTAACATCACCCTCCTTTTGCACAGTCCTTTTAAGTCCCCCGTTAAGCATCTTTTTTATGTGCAGATGCTTTTTTCTGTATTCATCTTACGAATTTACCTACATTATTCAGCCATCCTTATTTCCCTTTCATGTTTTTTTGGAAGCAATGTCTCCTCACCTGTTTAATCTGTTCCTCTGTGTTTTTGAAGCCCATATTCTTTCCTCTTCTCAGAAAGACATTGCTTTATCAGTTATTCCATCAATCTCTGTGTCTCCAGTTCCTTCATCTCTTTTAACCTGTTTTCCTCAGCCTAAAAATACGCTCGTTATGCTTTTATACAGGGAGAATGCCTTCACTCTTTGTTATTCTGTGCAATTGTTGTGTTATTCTTTATTAATATTTGCTGCCTCCGCATGTGTCAGCCCCACACATCTGAGTTGATGACCTCCACCTCTGTCTCAGTCTTTACCTCTTTCTCATAGATATCCCCACCTAGAACCCAACATGGATAGCTAACTCAGCCTATCTCAACCGGAACCCGTTAGCTTTCTTGTGAAACTGTTATTTGTTACCTGCAGCATGCAATAAGTGGAAAAGTCCTGTTGGTTTTTGCTGCTGTTTGAATGTGGTGTTCTGTAGTCCTGAAGATACTACCTCCATCAGAACATCATCACTTTTCACCTGCGCATCTGTAATTCCTGCCTCCTGTCTTACCTCTCATTTTCTACACTTCCTCCAGAATGGTCTTTCTAAAACAACAGATCTGTCAACAGTTTCCTTAACTTCTACATGATTTCCTGTGGTCCAGGATGAACTCCGGAGGTCTGCTGGTCTGGAATACAGTGTTTCCTGTGATACCTTTTATCCTTGTCATCGATCATTTCCTCATTGCTGATTCCTGAATGCGTCGCGCCTTGTGTGCCACTCCGGCCTTTGCATGTACTGTTTCTCCTTTGGATGCTTTTTTCTTCCCCTTAGCCCCATAAACATGTATTGGTTCTTCTGAGCACAACTCATGTCATTTTCTTGAAGCCCTTTTAATCTTCACTCCCATCTCCTCCTGTGTTCAGTGTGCATGCATCTGTGCTTACCACCCTGTCTAGCAGCAATTTGCTGATATAGGTTCACTTTTTCTGTTTGCCTCTAATTGTAATCTCAAGAGCAAGAGCTACATCTCATTCACATTTGAATCCTCAATACTGATTTCATTTCCTGGCTCTTAGTAGGTGCTCAGTAAATGCTTGTTAAATTTAATTGAATCAAGTAATAACACTTACAGTCGTACTTTAGATCATAGATGGCAGTAATCAGTGGGCTCTAATGAATTTGTACCCTCTGTCCTTATCAATTAAGTTATGACCTCATTTTAGGAAAACCTTGGGGGAGTAGAGATGAGTATTTTAGAAGAAACAGAAGTAATATTTACATTCAAGCAGATTTTAATATATTTTGTGAGATAGCAAATAAGTATCTTTCCTACTACTATATTAAATTTTTTTTTTTTAATTTTCCTTGTGTAATATAAGCAAATAGGCTTTAGGTCTCAGCTTTTCAATATGTCATTGGAGTAGAGAGGCAATACAAGTAATCCTAAAAATAATTTAAATATTGTTATGTATCTTAAAATGATTGTATGAATTTCTGTTTCCACTACTTTATTTATTATTGAAATTAGCATGGTATTATAGAATCCCAGGATTCTTAAATGTTACCTTCTCTAACTAATACACATTGCTTGACTATCTAGACTTACACTTAACAGGTATTTACATCTTTGAACACAGAACAACTGATGGAGAAAGAAGCATTATAAATAATATACATAAACTCAATTTGTGCAGATAATCCATAATTAATGTTTAACTTGTCTAAATGCTATATGTAATATCTTTCATCAGTTTTTTTTAAAGTAATTATCCTTTCATGTTGTTTTTTTTTCCACCAAATAAAACAATAAAAGGACCAGAGATCAAGAAGCCCCAGAGGATGTACAAGTCAGGCCAGAGGATACTCCTTCAGATCTCAGTGTTAGTAATTCCAGTGTCATACTGGAAAACACGTTGGAAGACCATGCTGCTGAGGCATCCGGGAAGCCTCTAGGTGAAATTAGTGTTCCACTGGACAGCTCTTTACTTTGTACTTTGTCCTCAGAATCTCACCAGGAAGCAGCTAGTAATGAGAATGATAAAAAACCTGGTAACTACAAATCTATGTTGCGACCAGAGGTTGGCACCAGTTCACAAGATTCAGCTCTCTTAGATCAGGAATTGTATAACTCCTTCCATTTCTGGAGGACTCCTCTTCCTGAAATAGATCTAGACATAGAGCTTGAACAGAACTCTGGGGGAAAACCCAGCCCAGAGGGACCAGAGGAAGCATCTGAAGGCCCTGTGCCCAGTTCTCCAAACATCACCATGGCCACCAGAAAGGAACTGGAAGAAATGATAGAAAATCTAGAGCCCCACATTGATGATCCAGATGTTAAAGGTATGGAAGTCAGTCAAGTTCTTTATTCTGAAATTGATTAAAAATATTAGTGTCTATCTTAAACATTTCATTTCAGAAAAAATTGCCATTTAATGATGTATTATGGACGGGGCAAAGTGACTCATACCTGTAACACCAGCACGTTGAGAGGTTGAGGCAGGAGAATCACTTGAGAACAGGAGGTCGACACCAGACTGGGCAACATAGTAAGACCCCATCTCTACAAAAATTGAAAAATTAGCCAGGCATGGTGGCACATGCCTGTAATCCTAGCAACTTGGGAAACTGAGGTGGGAGAGCGTTTGAGCTTAGGAGGTTGAGGCTGCACTGAGCTGTAATTGTGCAGCCTCGACCTCGTGAGTTCAAATGGTGTCAAAGGATCATGCTCTGATAGTTCTCCAGCCTGGGCAACAAAGTAAGACCCTGTCTATTTAAAAAAAGAAAAAGGTAGTATGACCATCATTATCATGTATTTCTAAATTCTCTTGATAAATACAATTAATCTGATTTTCAGGAAATTTTTTATTTACAATAGGCTCATCATTGCATTCCTTACTGTAATTTTATTTGTTGATAAATCACTCTCTTTGAAATTTTCAGTCACTCAAACAGTGCTTTACAGTTTTAAAGTTTGGGCTCTGCCTTAACTATTTTGCACAGAGACTCACTACCTTTTTGTAAGATAGCAGTAGACGCAGTCATTCTTTTATGGAAAGACTGTAGAATGTTCATTGCGCCACTGCACTGCAGCCTGGGCGACAGCAAGACTCCGTCTCTGGAGTGGGGGAGGAAGAGACTATAGAACGTTCACAGCAGGCATAGTTAACACTTGCTGAGTGTTTAATGTCTTTACAGCTTTCACCTTTCTGTTTAAATTTTATTATTTACCAACTTAAGTTTATTAAAGTTTATCGAACTTCAGTGACTCCGATTTTTTTTTTTTTTTTTTTTGGCTATGGAGTCTTGCTCTATCGCCCAGGCTGGAGTTCAGTGGCACTCAATCTTGGCTCACAATAACCTCCACCTCCTGGGTTCAAGCAGTTCTCCTGCCTCAGCTTCCTGAGTAGCTGGGATTACAGGCACGTGCCACTGCACCCAGCTACTTTTTTTTTTTTTTTGAGACACAGTCTCACTCTGTCGCCAGGCTGTAGTGTAGTAGTGCCATCTCGGCTCACTGCATCCACTGCCTCCTGGGTGCAAGTGATTCTCCGGCCTCAGCCTCCCAAGTAGCTGGGACTACAGGTGGTGCCACCACGCCCAGCTAATTTTTGTATTTTTAGTAGAGACTGGTTTCACCATGTTGGCCAGGCTGGTCTTGAACTCCTGACCTCAGGCAGTCCGCCTGCCTTGGCCTCCCAACATGCTGGGATTACAGGTGTGAACCACCGTACTCATTTTATTTTTCTTAAACCATGTATGAAAAAAATATTACCAGTTGTCCTTAAGCCGGTTCTGGGAGCTCTCGTTGTATTATAGTACCTGCTAGTTCTCTGACATAGACTAGTCACTTAAATATTAATTGAAATATTGAAAGAATTGCTCTAAATTTTTCTTTCAGTAAATAAGTGAAAAGAAATATGCATAGGTTGCTTTTTAAAAAGATTTACATGTACATGCATACAAGTTTCTTGATACGACTTTGTGTTTCAGAAGATATCTAATACTCTTTGTACTGTAAATTTACTAGCTGCAGTTGAGAGAGTTCAATACAAATAACAGGCATACCTTGGAGATATTGCTGGTTCAGTTCCAAACCACTGCAAAAAAGCAAATATTGCAGTAGAGTCATACAAATTTTGTGGTTTCTCAGTGCATAAAGAGTTATGTTTACAGTCAAGTGCAGTGGCTTTCACCTGTAATCCCAGCTATCTGGGGGAGGCTGAGGCAGAAGGGCAGCTTAAGGCCAAGAGTTTGAGACCAGTTTGGGCAACATAGCAAGACCCTCATCTCTAAAAAGATTTTGAATAGTAGCTGGGCATGGTTGCACACACCTGTAGTCCCAGCCACTCGAAAGGCTGAGGTGGGAGAATTGAGCCTAGGAGTTTTAAGATTTCAGTAGCTATGATCGCACTACTACTCTCCAGCTTGAGTGACAGAGTAAGACCCGGTCTCAGAATTTTATAAAAGTTGTGTTTATACTATACTGTAGTAAGCGTGTGATAGCATTTTGTCTAAAAAAAAAAAAATGTACACACCTTCATTGAAAAATTACTAAAAAGTGCTGATGATCATCTGAGCCTTACACAAGTTATAGTCTCATTGCTGGTGGAGAGTCTTGCTTCAATGTTGATGGCTGCTGACTGGTCAGGGCAGTGATTGCTGAAGGCTGGGGTGGCTGTGGCAATTTCTGAAAATAAAACAGCATGGAAGCTTACTATGTCAGTGGACTCTTCCTTTCATGAAAGAGTTATCCGTAGCTAGCAATGGTGTTTGTTGGCATATTACCTGCAGGAGACATCTTCTTTAAAAATTAGAGTCAGTCTTCTCGAACACCACCACTCTTTTATCAAGAGGTTTATGTAATATTCTAAATCTTTCATTGTCATTTCAACAATGTTCACAGCATCATCACTAGGAGGAGATTCCATCTCGAGAAACCACTTTCTTTGCTCATCCTAAGAGGCATTTGTTCAAGTTTGGTCAGGAGAGCCGGATGTAGTGACCATGTGCCTGTGATCCCAGCTGAGGACAGGAGAATTGCTTGAGACCAGGAGTTCAAGGCTGTAGTGGTTATGATTGTGCCTATAAGTAGCCACTGTACTCCAGCCTGGACAACATAAGAAGACTCTGTCTCTAAAATTAAAACAACAAAAAACGTTTGATTATGAGATTGTAGCATTTCAGTCACATTTTCAAGCTCCACTCCTAATTTTAGTTCTCTTGCTATTTTTACCCTATCTACAGTTACTTCCTCCACTGAAGTCTTGAACCCTTCAAAGTCATTTAAAAGGGTTGAAATTACCTTCTTCCATACTCCTTTTAATGTTGATATTTTGACCTCCTCCCATGAATCGTGAATGTTCCTAATGGCATCTGGCACCCCAGATGAATCCTTTCCAGAAGGTTTTCAGTTTACTTTGTCCAGATCCATCAGAGAAATCACTATTTATGGCAGCTATAACTTTACAGAATGTATTCCTGAAATTATAAGACTTAAAAGTTGAAATTACCTCTTGATCTTTGGGCTGCAGAATGGGTTTTGTGTTAGCAGGCATGAAAACAACATTGTCTCCTTGTACGCCTCTATCAGAGTTCTTGGGTGACCAGGTGTATTGTCAATGAGCTGTAATCATTTGAAAGGAATATTTTTCTAAGCTGTAGGTCTCAACAGTCGGCTTAAAATACTCGGCAAACCTTGCTGTAAACAGATCTGCTCTCATCCAGGCTTTACTTTTCCAGTGACAGAGCACAGGCAGAGTAGATTGAGCTTAATTCTTAAGGGCCCCAGGATTTTTGGAATAGTAAATGAGCATTGGTTTTAGCTTTTTTTCTTTTTTTTTTTGACAGCACCTCACTCCGTCACCCAGGCTGGAGTGCAGTGACGCAATCTCAACTCACTGTAACCTCTGTCTCCCAGGTTCAAGCGATTCTCCTCCCTCAGCCTCCCAAGTAGCTGGGACTACAGGCACGCACCACCATGCCTGGCTAATTTTTTTTTTTTTTGTATAATGGGGTTTCACCAAGCTGGCCAGGCTGGCCTCGCACTCTTGACCTCAGGTAATCCACCCACCTCAGCCTCCCAAAAGTGCTGGGATTACAGGTATGAGCCACCACTCCTGGCCTGGTTTTAACAAAGTCACCAGCAACATTAGTCCCTAACAAGAGTCACCTTGGCGTTTGGAGCTTTGAAGCCAGGCATTGACTTCTCTTTAGCTAGGAAAGTTCTAGATGGCATTTTCTTCCCATAGAAGACTGTTTTATCTGTGTTGAAAGTCTGGGCCGGGCGCGGTGGCTTACGCCTGTAATCCCAAAACTTTGGGAGGCCGAGGTGAGTGGATCATCTGAGATTAGGAGTTCGAGACCAGCCTAGCCAACATGGTGAAACCCTGTCTCTACGAAAAATACAAAAATTAGCTGGGCATGGTGGTGCATGCCCGTAATTCCAGCTACTAGGGAGGCTGAGGCAGGAGAATTGCTTGAACCCAGGAGGCAGGGGTGGCAGTAAGCCAAGATTGTACCACTGTACTCCAGCCTGGGTGACAGAGCAAGACTCCCATCTCAAAAAAAAAAAAAAAAGTCTGTTGTTTGGTGTAGCTACCTTAGTGGCTTCAGAAATTTTAGCTAGATGTTCTGAATAACTTGCTGCAGCTTTACCTAAGCACTGGCTGCTTCACCTGGCACTTCTGTGTTATGGAGATGGCTCCATTCCTTGAACTTCATGAACCAACCTGTGCTAACTTTCAGCTTTTCTTCTCAGCTTCCTAAACTCTCTCAGCCTTTACAGAATTGAAGCCAGTTAGGGCCTTGCTCTGAATTAGATTTTGGCTTAAGAGAACATTGTGGCTGATTTGATTTCTGTCCAGACCACTCAAACTTTCTGCATATCAGCAATAAAGTTGTTGTTCCTTCTTCTTTGTGTGTGTGGAGTAGCACTTTTAATGTCCTTCAAGAACTTTTCCGTCTGCATTTATAAATTGGCTAACTGATGCAAGTGGCCTAGCTTTTGGGCTTTCTTGGCTTTTGACATGCCTTCCTCACTAAGCTTAATCATTTCTAGCTTTGGATTTAAAGTGAGAGATGTGTTACTCTTCCTTTCAGTTGAACTCTTAGGGGCTACTGTTGGGTTATTTATTAATTGGCCCAATTTTAATATTATTGAGTCTCAGGGAATAGGGAGACAGGAGAGAGATGGGTAGAGAAAGTCGGTAGAGCTGTGAGAACACACATATTTATCATTTAAGTTTGCTGTCTTGTCTGTCTTGTACAGCTAGTTAGCACCTCCCAAAACAATTACAATAGTAATATCAAAGATCACTGATCATAGATCACCATATCAGATATAACAATAATGAAAAAGATGGACATAGTACAAGAATTACCAACATGCAGTACAGAGGCACAGAGTAAACACATGCTGTTGGAAAAATAGCACTGATAAACTTGCTAAATGTAAGCTTGCCACAGACCTTCAGTTTATAAAAAGTACAGTATCAAGCCCGGCATGGTGGTGTGTGCCTGTAGTCCCAACCACTCAGGAGGCCGAGGCTGAAAGATTGCTTGAGCCCAGGGGTTCAGTGCTTCAGTGAGCTATGATCATGCCTTGTGAATAGCTTTCTGCAGGTAACTCCAACCTGGGCAAAATAGTGGGACCTCACCTCTTTAAAGAAAAAAAAAAGGAAAAGTGTAGTATCTACAAAGTGCAATAAAATAGGGTGTGCCTGCACTTTCCAGTGAACAGAATGGATGGGGGATGATACACGCACACGCTGACACACCATGCACTTTATATGGGACAAAACGTTTTAACGTTTCTTTCTTGTACAGTCTGTTTTTGAGTACTGTTTTGGTTTGGCTTGGGAGTGATCCCAAAAGGGAGTGGCTGAAGTGATTAAAAGGGTTGGTGAAAATTGCAGCCGAAATTCTGAAGATAATGAAAATATTCCACCGCAACTTTTTGTGAGTGAACACGTTCAGTTTTCTTAAGTTAGCAAGTAATGACCTAATGGACTAGAACCTCATCCTGTATGTTTCTTGCATGTCTGTTGTCAGACACTTAATATACTTAGATGAGAAATTTTATAAATGCTGCATCTTAATAGATTATCTTAATAAAAGTTACTGATTGTTTTGTTTAAAATGTTCATATTTTGAACATCGAAGTGGATTGTTACTTGGAATAAATGCTAAGCAATATTTTTTGCTAAATTTCTGATTTATCTGGGGAGCAGAAAGAATGCCTTATCTTAATTTCGAATCACCTTTGTAAGTAAGGTGCAACCCAAAACGTAGGCAATGCTAGTTGCCAGATTTTTGAACCCCTGCCTGGTAAGTTGTCCTTTTGGTTTGCTGTAAGCAAGACAGTGCTCATTTGGGATTGTTGTGTTTGGGAGAAGATAGAATTCTCATTTTCAAAAAGAATTAGAGAGAAATAAGCAGTAATAAGATATGAGATGTTTAAATGTAACTGTGACAAGAATCTTTGTAATTACCATTGTTTTATGTTGGCAGGGTTTGTGTGACTGCTCTTCTGCTAAAATAGCTTAGTAAGTAAGACTTGTCAGTTTGATTCATGCACTACCAAAACATAGTTAACTTTTACTGAAATTGACTCCTTTTAATAAGCTGGAGGCAGCTCCAGCAACTAGATAGCATTTCTCTTTTCATACTAACGCAGAATAATGTATAGTAGCAGATAAACATTTTTAATCTCATGAAAGCATATTAGTTTTCTACTTTTTCTCTTGAAGGACTAATGATTTACCACAGTAGAAATTTTTTTCCAGCTTTTTGATTGCAGTGTCAAAAAAGTATACATTTCATTGATAACGTACAATGCAAATGGAGAACAGCCTTGTAAGGATATTGCAATTGTGGTTCTCACTTTGTCCGTTTCCTTTTTTTGCCTGTAGCACAAGTGGAAGTGCTGTCCGCTGCACTGCGTGCTTCCAGCCTGGATGTACATGAAGAGACCATCAATGTAGAAAAGAGAAGTGATTTGCAAGATGAACTGGGTATAAATGAGCTACCAAATTGTAAAATAAATCAAGAAGATTCTGTGCCTTTAATCAGCGATGCTGTTGAGGTAACAAACTCAGTATTTACCAAGTGAGAGTGGTTTGAATCAGAAGTCTTTCATTGGGGAATAGTTGTAGCTGATCACTTTTAGTTTGTATGTTCTGTTTGTTGCTGATTTTTTAGCTCTTCCTTTTGCATAAAGTAATTGTTTTCATCACATCCTGTCCTCGTGACATCAGTGTCATATGAAATGCCTGGAAAAGTAAATCCCACTTCTGTCTATATGACCATTTAGTAGACTCAATGTTAATGTAGCTCACTGCAGTGAAATAGTCTTACTGGAAACAAAGCCCTTTATCAAGAATAATTAACTCTTCCCTTTTCTTTTTGGAGAGGTGCTTTGTTTCTGATCGGACCATTTCACTGCAGCAAGCAACACAGTATTCTGAGCAGAAGATCGGGACTTGAGGCCATGTTGCGGAGGGCCAGTGACATTATCTGGACTCTGGAGTGTGAGGGTGGGTACTGATCCTAGCATCATCTTCACTTTGTACTTATAGCTGTTCTCTGTGATCCTTCCCTAATTTCCTGCTGCATCTCCATCAAGCCAGCATTATTTGGTGTCAGTGCTACTTAGCCATTATTTATATAAATGGGGAGAAGGAATGCACCACCGATTGCCAGAATCGCATGGTCACAGATCATAGTGGCTTGAATGAGAAGCTCAGGAAAGAGTACCTGCACACACTGGGGACGGCAAGAGGGTTCTTAGAGCTTTAGTGCATTTCTGTTTTGATTCCTGTTAGATGGCATGTGGTATAGTTAGAAGTCTGTATGATACCACTGCTTTGGATTGAAACCCTGACTATTTATTGGAGATTTGAATAGTATTAATGTATCTGCATCTTAGAAGGTGTTTATGTTGTTGTTGTTGTTACTGTTTTTGGCTGTTAACATATACATAATTTGTGAAATTAGATATTAACAGCCAAGAATAGAAATAGAAGAAAAACTGCATATGACACTCCATGGTCTCTAAAACAATGGATCAAAAGAATCCTCTCAGTACTATTTCATAAATAAGCTAATTTGAGCTGTTTGGACCATTTCAAAATTACTTTCAAATATTGTTTTTAGTTACTCTCATTTTTCTGGAGTTGTTTTTCACACATTTGACAAGCTGTTCAGCAAGTTAGGTTTAAAGTAGGGAAAGTTCTTAGGTATGGCTATAAGCTTTTAAAAACATGAGGCATGTATGTGTTTATTACTTCTGGCAGTCTTGTAGGTAAGTAACTTAGTGTAAGATAGCTTAAATGAAGATGGGCAGCCGGGACAGCTCTTTAAGTAGTTATTTTTTCCTGACAGAATATGGACTCCACTCTTCACTATATTCACAACGATTCAGACTTGAGCAACAATAGCAGTTTTAGCCCTGATGAGGAAAGGAGAACTAAAGTACAAGTAAGTGACCAAAAAATGTGTTCTTTCGGGGGTGTGTTCCTAATTCCTCTTTTAGAGCCCATTTCTGACCTAATTTGCCCCTTCTTTATGATGAGTGTTCTAAAAATTATGACTAGTGTGTCATATTTTCTATAAGGAAATTGAAATAGTAGAGAGAGGAACGTGTAAGCACAAATCTTCCCTTTCCTACGTCTGTGATCCCATTCTTCATTCAGAGTGACCACAGTCACACACCTCGTTATCTTCCTTCATGTATTTTCATGGGCACATAAACATACGCATGTGCCCCTTTTTATCTTTCAAGACAACTGTGGTCATCCCATCCTACCTAGGTATTTCCTCTTGTTCACATTGCCAATAATTATAAAACACAGCTCGATTTCAGAGATGAAAATATGAAAAAATACGAAAATTTTGAAGTGCCGTCAGTAACAAGCTGCAGGGAAACTGTGCTCACGGAATCATTGGAATGTGATAGCTATGCCTTGCCTTGCTCTTTTCTTTTCTAACAATCTGACCTGGTGATCTCTCCTGTAAACACACTAGGACTCCCTCACCTTCACAGCAGCACAGCCCAGTGTACATGCCACACCTGTGGTCTCCATTGTAAGAAGGCTCTGTGGGAGATGCTACTTGTAGTTTCACTTTGATGCTATAAGAAGTGCTACATTCACTGTGACTGTCTAGATGTGTTGTTTGCTTCTAGGACTTTATTATTATTATTATTAGAGATGGAGTCTCACTCTGTCACCGAGGCTAGAGTGCAGTGGCACCATCTCAGCTTACTGCAACCTCCGCCTCCTGAGTTCAAACAGTTCTCCTGCCTCAGCCTCCCAAGCAGCTGGGACTACAGTTGCGAGCCACCAGGCCCAGCTAGTTTTTTTGTATTTTTAGTAGAGACAGTGTTTCGCCATGTTGGCCAGGCTGGTCACGAACTCCTGACCTCAAGTGATCCACCCACCTTGGCCTCCTAAAGTGCTGCGATTACAGGCATGAGCCACCGCGCCTGGCCTTAGGACTATATGATTATTGTTAGAAGTAGATTTCCCAGATCAAATGGTGTGTTTATTTTGTTGTTGTTGTTGTTGTTAGAGATGGGATCTCAGCTCTGTCACCCAGGCTGGAGTGCAGTGGCGAGATCACAGCTCATTGCAGCCTCGAACTCCTGGGCTCAAGCAATCGACCCTTCTGCCTCAGCCCCCCTGCTAGGTGGGACTACAGATGTGCACCACCACATGTAGCCAATTTTTATTTATTAAAAATGAAATCAGTATTCAAAACAATAGTGTTTTGAAACATGCTTTTCCCCACTTATAGACATTTTCAGTATTTCAAATCTCATTTTAATGAGTTTATTTCCATTTTCATTCTGTGTATATGGGTAATTAGTTTATGTAGCTCAAAATTCAAGATACTTAACAGGCATTTATTGACATTCCCTTCTCAGTTTTTCTTCTCCACTTGTCCATTTTGCTTCCTGAGATACAACCATTTTTACCTTTCTTTTATATCCTTCCACAGCTATATTATACACACCTAAGCAAGATTGCAAATATGTTCTTCTTTTCCTCACATATATACAAATAATTAGACATGTGCACTTCAGTTTTGTGTGAATAATTGCTTAAATTTTCATCTCAAGAAGACAAGTTTTTATTTTTGTTTTGAGACAGTCTCACTCTATGGCCCAGGCTGGAGTACAGTGGAGCTCTCACGGCTCACTGCAGCTTGCGCTTCCCTGGGCTCAAGTGATCGTCCCACCTCAGCTTCCCGAGTACCTGGAACTACAGGTGTGAGCCACCATACCTGGCTGATTTTTTAAATTTTTTGTAGAGACAGGGTTTCACCATGTTGCCCAGGCTGGGCTCAAGTAATCCACCCTCCTTGGCTTCTCAAAGTGCCGGAATTACAGGTGTGAGCCACTGTGCCTGGCTGGTTTTTGCTTTTTTAATGAACATGTTGCAAATCATGCAGAGCACCTGTTATTCTGCATTTGCTGGGTTATAACAAACATTGTCATCTCTGCCTACATTTAAAGGTGCTGATGTTATTTTAATACGTCTTTTTAATTTAGTAATTAATTCTAATTTTCCTTTGAACTGAGATGTTACTCATTATTCTCCTAGAGTTGCTTTTGCTTTTATTTGTTCATATATGTTTCCCTTAGCATGTTTTTTGTATCTCTTAGTTATTAGATACCTGAAAATTTGACATTGGTATTTCTCAACTATTTGAGATGCTATGTTAAAATCTATATATTTAAAAATAATTTTGCCCAATTTATGTCTAAACTGCTCAAAATGCATCTCAACTGCTCAGTCACTGTGGTTTCTCTTTCTCCATTAGGATGTTGTACCTCAGGCGTTGTTAGATCAGTATTTATCTATGACTGACCCTTCTCGTGCACAGACAGTTGATACGGAAATTGCTAAGCACTGTGCATACAGCCTCCCCGGTGTGGCCTTGACACTCGGAAGACAGAATTGGCACTGCCTGAGAGAGACGTATGAGACTCTGGCCTCAGACATGCAGGTGAGTAAAGCAGTTAAAGAATTAGCAGAACGTGCACGTGGAAGGCACAGTGCTTTGCTTTTCATAACCTAAAGAATTTCTGTTCGTGTTCTAGCATGTTCTTAGTGTTATAGGAAATTATGTATGGAAGAGCTTAAGAGTAATAACAGAGCATGTTCTTTTTGCACTGTCAGAGTCCCAGAATTTGGCGGCTTCATTTTTATCTAAAGCGTTAGAAATTGTTAGCACATTCAACATGCCTACATTCCTAACTTAAAATGTGTTATTATCTAGAGTTTATCTGTAAATTAATTGTTGAGAATATAGGATTTAATTTTTCACCTAGAAATAGTATTATAAATGCTTATTTGATTTTTCACACTAGATCTCAAAATATTTGTTTAAACTGGAGTAGAACTGTAGTATTACTAGCAAGTGTGAAGTTCTGGGCCCCGTGTGCCTTGAGCATTGCAGTACAGACAGGAGAAGTTCTGGGGTTCTTGCTCTCTCCTCGTCCCCACATACCACCCCCACCCCCTTTCAACAGAACACACAAGGTAAACCTTTGCTTCAGGTCATTTTGTCTGGACATCTGTGACTTTCATGTGACCTCTTCCCAGGCTTGATGACCTAACCTCCCCTGCCAGGCTGATTTCTATATAAACAAAGTTTGCCCCTCTTTGAACACACCCATTCCTTCAGTGAAGTTGATCTCTCAGTTATTTAAAAAAAAAAAAAAAAGCGGTCTCATTAGGCTAATTTGTACTGAAATGTGATGACTTTTCCTTAAACTTCTTAGTAATTATTACATTTTTCAGGGAATCAGTGGTATTGACTCAGCAAGTTCTAAGTGGGAAGTAATCTTGATAGGTCAAGTTCCTCCTTTGACCTATGAGGTTAGGAAAGCCGGGCCCAGGAGAAGTGAATTTATCTGTGTTCATACACTTCTTCAGTGCTGCATCTGGTCATGGAACCACAAAGGCCCAATTTCCATAGAGTGCTTTGTCCTGTGTATTCGTGTTTTCAGTCTTTATTCCACAGAACTGTAGGGTTCCCGTGGGATGAATTTCCAGGGGCACCTGGGTGACTCTGACGGCTCAGAGTCTGGACTAGCAGTTCTTTCTCTCTGCTGCCCCCCTCTTCCATGAGAACATCTCTGCCTTCATCTGTTTTATATGTTGAACTTAGGTGTAAAATTTGATTTCAAGAGTGGATTCTGGGTGGAAGGGAAAGGAAATAAAATGTTTGCTCTAAACTGTTTCTCTTTAGGTAAAGTTTTAAGTTACTGTGTGAAAAATTAAGGCAACATGGAGAAAAGGATGTTTTTAACTTAAAATTATTATAAATGCAACACATTTCTGTTGAGGGTTTCTTTTCCAAGGCTGTATGCAGATTTCCCTAGTCTTATATTTCTTAAATTGCCAATTCCTTAAGAACAGATTTTATTGTTCTGTTTTGTTTTTCTTAATCCAAGGTGTGGCTGTACCGGAATCTGAAGGGGGACAGTAAACTGGGGAGGGTGCTAGAGAGCCTTTGGTCCATGTGCAGCCTCAGCTCATCAGCGTGTTCTAGCATGTATTTAGTGTTACAGGAAATTATGTATGGAAGAGCGTGAGAGTAATAACAGAGCATGTTCTTTTCGCACGGTCAGAGTCAGGGTCCGACATTCAGAGAACTACAAAAACTTAATGATTTCTGAGCATTTTTTCCTCATGAGTGAAAGGAAGATAATACATACTAGGCAGGGATTTAAGATTTTTCTGTTATACTTTTCAATGCATAATTTAGGCATTTAAAATTAGTATCTGTTATTACTATTCTGATTTAATGTTTTGAGATTAGTGACATTCATATATAAATTAGCCTTCATATATTGCCTAAAGGTTGAAGTACTGAGTACTTTGTGGTCAGCTTACTAATGTGTTTTCATTTCTGCAGTGGAAAGTTCGACGAACTCTAGCATTCTCCATCCACGAGCTTGCAGTTATTCTTGGAGATCAGTTGACAGCTGCAGATCTGGTTCCAATTTTTAATGGATTTTTAAAAGACCTCGATGAAGTCAGGATAGGTGTCCTTAAACACTTGCATGATTTTCTGAAGGTAACTTTTAAATTCTTTTGCAGAAAAGCACAACAAAATTCTGCTGTAAATTAAATTTGTAAGATCTTTAATCTTCTTTGCTAGCACCAGAAGAAGGGTTTTCTGTGTGTTCTTATGTAAGAAAGTATTATGCCTCATCAAGTTTTGTTAAGATGTTGACTGTAAAAAAGAAAATAGTTGCCATAAGTTTATACCTTTTCACTTTTTTTTTTTTTTTTTTTTTTTTTGAGAACAGTTTTTGGAGTCCTCACTCTTTGTCGCCTTTCCAGGGTCTTGGAGTGCAGTGGCAATAGGATCTTTTCAAGCTCCAACTGCAAGCCTCCCCTGCCTTCACCATGGTTGTGAATCGGTTGTTTGGTGAGCATTTGTTCGTATTTTCTCCTTTCTTCTTGCCTCAGCCCCTCCCCCGAGTAGCTGGGACTTAACAGGCC